AAAAAAAAAAAAAAAAAAAAAAAGGGGGTGATTATATAAGCAAACCTTCTGTAAAGGGAGAGATGGTAAATATTTTTGGCTCTGAGGGCCATAGGGTTTCCTACCTTTGTAGGCCACAGACAGTACTAAATGAATGGGTGGAGCTGTGTTCCAATGAAACTTTCTTTACAAAAATAGGCTGGGAGGTCCGATTTGGCCCACAGAAGATAAGCCTGAATGATATCTACAAGCTGTTGTGATGTGTGGTAGGTGGATAATGTAAAAATATCATTTGAAGATTCTACTTCCTATTTATCTATATATAGATTTATCATATTATATAAATGCATTTACGTACTTATATTGCTTAAAGAATACATTTTCTAGTGACTATGGTAATGAATCATTCAAAGTGTGGTAGGCACTGAACAAAATAAAGAAATAACTTGTTTTCTTAGAAGAAATTCATACTTGGATGAAAATATCAAGGAAAAAATGTCCATTTTCTTCTATCACAAATTGAGAAAATAAGAGGTTTTAGAAACAGGAGCCCAAGAAACTGAGTTTTTTTTTTTTTGAGACAGAGTCTCTCTGTTACCCAGGCTGGAGTGCAGTGGCACGATCTCAGCTCACTGCAACCTCTGCCTCCTGTGTTCAGGTGATTTTCCCACCTCAGCCTCCCAAGTAGCTGGGACTACAGGGGCCCGCCACCACACCCAACTAATTTTTGTATTTTTAGGAAAGATGGAGTTTCAACATGTTGGCCAAGCTGGTTTTGAACTCCTGACCTCAAGCAGTCCACCCGCCTTGGCCTCCCAAAGTGCTGGGATTACAGGCCTCCACCTACCTCTTCTTTCTAAAATAATTTCAGTGTATATATCTTACCACAAGACCACTCAAATGGCAGAAACTGATTTTTCTTACTCCTCATAAATGTTAATTTTTCATTAGTGTTTTAAAAGGCAAAGAATTCTATTATCCTCAAAACTTTTAAAGCTGGAAGTCATTTGGTATTAAAAAAGAGGTATATTGGCCAGGCGCAGTGGCTCACACCTGTAATCCCAGCCCTTTGGGAGGCTGAGGCAGGCAGATCAGCAGGTCAGGAGGTCAAGACCATCCTGGCTAACACGGTGAAACCCCGTCTCTACTAAAAATACAAAAAAATTAGCTGGGCATGGTGGCATGCGCCTATAGTCCAGCTACTCGGGAAGCTGAGGTAAGAGAATGGCGTGAACCCAGGAGGCGGAGCTTGCAGTGAGCCGAGATTATGCCACTGCACTCCAGCCTGGGTGACAGAGTGAGACTCTGTCTCAAACAACAACAACAACAACAAAAAAACCAAAAAAAAATTGGTTGAGGAAGTTTTCTGCTTGTAATAAATTCATATACATCTAGTTAGTGTATATCAACTGAGAGCCCCAACCCTTTCTCAGTAAGAGATAGATTCATCCTGAAAGACAAAGTGTATCTAGGGTACATTTAGGTAGTAGAAACCAGTGCAATGCAACTACATTTCTCAGGAAAAGATTTAGAATGGATTTTAAATTGGAAACATCAATTATTCTTTGATTTGAAAGTAGACTGGTACTGGAGAGATGTTGGTCACAGGATACAAGATTTCAGTTACATAGGAGGAGTAAGTTAAAGAGATCTATTGTACAACATCTATTATTTTATAGTTAATAAATGTATTCTTGAAAATTGCTAAGCTAGTAGACTTTAAGTATTTTTACCACATAAAATAAGTGGGTAATACATATGTTAATTAGCTCCATTTAGCCATTCTACAATATATACACATTTCAAAACAACATGTTGTATGTAATATATATGCGCAATTATTTGCCAATTAAAAAGATAAATAGGCTGGGTGCTCACGCCTGTAATCCCAGCACTTTGGGAGATCAACTGCTTGAACCCAGGAGTTCAAGACCAACCTGGTCAACATGGCAAAACCCTGACTCTACAAAAAATACAGAAATTAGCTAGGCATGATGGTGTGTGCCTAAAGTCCCAGCTACTTGGGAGGAAAGGTGGGAGGATTGCTTGGGCCTGCCTGGGAGCTCGTGGCTACAGTGAGACGGTGCCACTGCACTCTAGCCCGGGTGACAAAGCAAGAACCTGTCTCAAAAATAAATGAATAAATAAATAATAAACAGGCCATAAATAATAATAAATAGCCTATAAAAGATAGGCTGATACAGACTAAAATATTTATTTTTGCATTTCTATTTAGTTTGTATAGTATCAAACAACATATAATTTGAACTGACAACAAATAATTTACAGTACAGATAATGTGCTGCTTCCTATACTCATGGCTTAATTTTTTAAAGGTTCAGACGATGAGTTATATCTGTTTTCTTCCACTTCCTTTAAATGGCAGGGAAGCTGAAAGAAAGTAGAATAGAACATTTCTTTTTATTTACCAATAACTACACTTACCTTATAAACAGAATTGCCACCAACTATCCAAATCATGTCTACTTTATTTGCTAATTCTGGTTGTTCAGTAAGTTTTAAGGCATCATCCAGACTTCTGGCAAGAAAATGAGCTCCTTGTGGAGGTTCCCTGAGGTTAAAAAAAGAATTACACATAATTTTCGTAAAATCCATCCATACTAGTCAAATAATCTGACTAAGCAGCAGTGACTATAGAATTGAAATCATCATAAATATGAATCCTTTCAACAAGAAGCACTTAACATCAGTATGGCCTATAACCAATAATTCAGCCTACATTTGTACATCTATGGCTCACAATGAATCATGAAACAGAACCAGGTGGTATCCTGTGATATCTCTGGTGGAAAAACATCAGAATAGGAGTTATTTCCGGAGGGGTGGGATAAAGATTCACTTGGACAAGGCAGGAGAGAACTTTCTGGGGATGATAGGTACTATTCTGTATCTTTGATAGGGCTGGGGTTACACAGGTGTATACATTTACCAAAACTTAGCAAATGTACATTTAAGACTTGTGTCTCATGTAATAGTTACTTCAGAAGGAAAAAAACTGTAAAAGACAGAATCATTGTATTTATTTATTTATTTATGAGACAGAGTCTCGCTCTGTTGTCCAGGCTGGAGTTCAGTGGCACGATCTTGGCTCACTGCAAGCTCCGCCTCCTAGGTTCACGCCATTCTCCTGCCTCAGCCTCTCGAGTAGCTGGGACTACAGGCGCCCACCACCATGTCTGGCTAATTTTTTGTATTTTTAGTAGAGATGGGGTTTCACCCTGTTAGCCAGGATGGTCTCGATCTCCTGACCTGCTGATCTGCTTGCCTCGGCCTCCCAAAGTGCTGGGATTCCAGGTGTGAGCCACAGCACCCGGCCAAGACTGAATCATTAATGATATGAATGATGAAGTATTTAGGTGGAAATACACTAATGTCTGCAGTTTATTATGAATGCAAAAATGAACAAGATCGATTGATGGATGAATGAAGATGTGATGAAACTAGTAGAGTAAAATGTTAATGGTAGATCTAGGTGGATGGTTTACTGTAAACTTCTTTCTGTATGTGTGAAGATTTTCCTGATAAAATATTAGAAAAAGAGTGATATGTTTGAATGACTGCAGAAAAGCTTGGAATGACATTCAGACTGTTAATATGTCATTACCTTTGGGAACGGGGAAAGGATTTTCATGTTTCAAACAATACAGGAATGGGTGAGGTATTAAAAAATGAGCTTATTATTATGTAATTAAAATCCAGAAGGGAAGAAGTTAATTAATTTCAGTGTTTACTCAGGGGTGGTCCAATATTTTGGCTTCTCTTGGCCACATTGGAAGAATTGTCTTGGGTCACACATAAAATACACTAACATTAACGATAGCTGATGAGCTTTAAAAAAAAAAAAAAGATCTGTGTATAACGTTTTAAGAAAGTTTACTAATTTGTGTTGGGTGGCATTCAAAGCCATCCTGGGCCACTCTGAGGCCTGCGAGTTGTGGGCTGGACAAGCTTGGTGTACACTGACTAGCTTAGTCTCTCCCAATCTCTGAAACTATTTTGTTGGTCATGGTGGGGGTTGCAATTCCCTTTATAAATGATGAAACATGTGGAAATAGGCTTTCATAGTAATTACATACACAATAGAAATTACAATTCAATGCCAAGTTTTTAGCCTGCTGCTTTAACAAGATTATATAATTGCCCTTGAACTCATAGTTATAATAAGGATTAATCAAGAACTTGATTGCCTCCTCCCTCTCCCTCCTAATATGTATTTTACTTATTTTATTCTGTCATTCTTAAAAGAATTAGGTTAGAGCAAAGAATGTACTTTGACTCAGGCTGGAAAAAGACATGGAGGCCAGGAGAAGTTAAATAAGCCCAGGTTATCTCCTAAGGTATCAGGGCAGTTGCAGGGACCAGGTTGGACTAGGCTCTTCGGAGAGAGAACTGAATCTAGAAGAAACAAAGATTTGGAGTTGGGAGAGAAGAGAGTTTAGTTAATAAACCGATGATGGCCAAAACAGAGCTGTGACGTAACTGCAGATGTGACGACTTCCTTGCCCTTTTGTAGTGAGTGTGGAAAAGAAAGTGAAGAACAGATTAGCCAGGCATGGTGGCTCATGCCTGTAATCTCAGCACTTTGGGAGGCCAAGACGGGCAGATCACCTGAGGTTAGGAGTTCCAGACCAGCCGGGCCAACACAGTGAAACCCCGTCTCTACTAAAAATAGAAAAATTAGCTGGGCATGGTGGTGCGTGCCTGTAATCCCAGGTACTTGGGAGGCTGATACAGGAGAATCGCTTGAACCCAGGAGGTGGAGGTTGCAGTGAGCCGAGATTGCGCCACTGCATTCCAGCCTGGGTGAGACAGCGAGACTCTGTCTCAAAAAAACCCAACTCCCGCCGCCACAAAAAAAACAAAAAAAATAAAGATAGAGCAAAGTTAGAGATTTAAGTTAAAAAAAAGGTATGAAGAATATGCTTCCGTAAAATGTGGCTATTTAGCAGTTTAGAGTTCAGTATCACAGGAAACACTGGACCTCCAGGTGGGTAAAAAAGAACATGCAAAAAGCTGAGCTAGTGTTTGAGTTCATCAGCCCTTACACGGCACAAGTGCTAGAAATTAATACAGTAAATGACAAATAGGAAGCATCCAATATAGTGATGTATTTCACTGCTGAATTTCTTTCCTATAATTATTTTAAACCAATCCAGATTGGATTCCCTGACAAAGGGGAGTTGGTATGTGGTAGCATACATATTCTTTGTTAAGAAACGTGTGGACATGCTTGACGTTTTTGTGACTGAGTGTTGAGGGTTTGCATGAAGACTAAATGAGATAATGTACACATTGCATTTAACTGGCAATCATACGTGGTACTATCATTCCTTTTTATGGATGAGGAAACTGAGGCTGAATGGTTAAGAAACTACCGGTCACACAGCCAGGAAATGACGGACCTTGGAGTTGAACTCCAGCAGCCTGACTTTGAAACTTGAGCTGCAACTTGTTACATGGACAAAAGACTGCAGTTGGTGCCTGTGGGCTACAGGGGCCCTTAGACATCAGGATGGTAGGGCTCAGATTAGGTGAAACCCTGACTCTTGTCCTATGGCCTTATCTGATTACCCCGGGTGCCATGTAAACATTATCCTTTTTCACTGTTCCTGATGTGAGGATGGTCAATGGAATTCTGGCTCCATTTCCCCAGGGAGTGTTGGGAAACCACTTAAAAAAACAAAAAACCCTGAAACGGAATGGTGTCTTAACCAGAACACAAAAATACCCCCTCAATTTAAGACCTTTCACACTGAGCCTTTAAAAATGGTGTTCTCTACTAAGCCATACCTCATTTTATTGTGCTTCAAAGATACTGAGGTGTTTTTCTTTTTTACAAATTGAAGGTTTGTGCCAACCCTGCACTGAGCAGGTCTATTGGTGAAGTTTTTCCAACAGCATGTGTTCACTTTGTATCTCTATGTTACATTTTGGTAATTCTCACAATATTTCAGGCTTTTTCATTATAATATGTTTTGGGGATCTTGCTGCTACTGTTGCAAGTAACTGTTATGGGGTGCCATAAATCATGCCCTTTTGATGGTGAACTGATACATGTTGTGTGTTCTGACAGCTCCACTAACTGGCTATTCCTGTTTCTCTCCCTCTCTTCTGGCCTCCCAATTCCCTGAGACACAACAATATTGAAATGAGGCCAATTAGTAACCCTACAATGGCCTCTAAGCGTAGGAGTGAAAGGAAGAGTTGCATATTTCTCATGTAAAATCAAAAGCTAGAAATGATTATGCTTAGTGAAGGAGGCACATAGCAAAGCCAAGACAGGCCAAAAGCCATGCCTCTGGCATCTAACAGCCAAGTTGTAAATACAAAAGAAAAGCTCTTGAAGGAAATTAGAAGTGCTATTCCAGTGAAAATGTGAATGGTAAGAAAGCAAACAGCCTGGCTGGCTCGGTGGCTCACACTTGTAATCCCAGCACTTTGGGAGGCCGAGGCGGGAGGATCATGAGGTCAGGAGATCGAGACCATCCTGGTTAACACAGTACAACCCTGTCTTTACTAAAAATACAAAAAAATTAGCCAGGCGTGGTGGCCGGCGCCTGTAGTCCCAGCTACTCGGGGGGCTGAGGCAGGAGAATGGTATGAACCTGGGAGGCAGAGCTTGCAGTGAGCCGAGATCGCACCACTGCACTCCAGCCCGGGCGACAGCGAGACTCTGTCTCCAAAAAAAAAAACCAACCAAACAAACAAACAAAAAAAACCACAAAGAAAACAAATAGCCTTATTGCTGATGTGGAGAAAGCTGAGTGGTCTGGATAGATCAAACCAGCCACATTACCTTACACCAAAGCCCAATCTAGAACAAGGCTTTAACCCTCTTTAATTCTGTAAAGGCTGAGAAAGCTATAGAAGAAAAGTTTGAAACTAGCAGGGTTTGGTTCATGATGTTTAAGTAAAAAGCTGTCTTCATAAGAAAAAAGTACAAGGTGAAGCAGCAAGTTTATCCGGAAGATCTGGCTAAGATCATTGATGAAGGTGGTTACACTAAGAACAGGTTTTCAATGGAGACAAAATAGCCTGCTATTCAAGGAAGATGCCATCTAGGACTTCATAGCTATAGAGGAGAAGTCAATGCCTAGTTTCCAAGTTTCCAAGAACAGGATGATTCTCCTGTTGGGGGTTAAGGCAAGCTGATGACTTTCAGTGGAAGCGAATGCTCATTTACCATTCTGAAAATCCCAGGGCGTTTAAGAATTATGCTAAATCTTCTCTGCCTGTGCATTAGAAATGGAACAACAAAACTTCGATGACAGCACATTTGTTTACAGCATGGTTCACTAAATATTTTAAGCCTAATGTTGAGACCTACTGCTCAGGAAGGAAGATTTCCTTTCAAAATATTCCTGCTCATTCTGCAGCCCATGGATCAAGGAGTAATTTTGACTTTCAAGTCTTACTATTTAAGAAATACATTTTCTAAGGCTGTAGCTGCAATAGTCAGTCATTCCTTTCATGGATCTGGGCAAAGTAAATGGAAAACCTTTTAAAAAGGATTCACTATTCTAGATGCCATTAACAACATTCATGATTCAT